ATGAAAAAGTGCTAAAAGTGTTTTGCCGAAGTGGAAGAGGTGAAACAAAAAATGGCAGATGCACCCAAAGGCATCAAAATTGATGAGCTCAAAAACTGTTTTCAGCGGTGGAAAAAGCATCTTGATACGTGTAGTGCATCAAACACAGAGTATTTTGAAGGTGACTGACGTTTAAACGTGTAAGAATTCATAATTTTTAAATAAATAAAATGGTTTCCTTTGTGTCCCCCCTCATACTGTGTACTATGTTTTGGGTCCTATATTAGGAAGTTAGGGCCCAGACATAACTTAGACATGCTTTCTCCACTAAAAAAGTTCAGTCTAGTCGAGACCTTAAGTGAAATAACTGCAAAAACCACATGGTGTTATAACATTGATTTTGCATGAGACACTTTAAAAAATGGCATACTCAACTTGTAGGATAAGATGGAAAATGCTTCCAGAGCAATGTTTGAACTAGATGTTGAAAAACAAATGAGTCAGATTGGCAAAAGAAAACTATTCAGAAGGACTAGCATATACAAAGACATTAAGTCTACTCGGACAATTATAAGCTCAGCAGAAGCCCAGAGGGGCTGTATAAGGAGAAAGGAGACAGGTAAAGAGATAGGAAGACGTGAAGTCCCTACCATAGAATCCAGAAAAGGGTTTGACACAGAGTAACATCAGATTTGAATTTCAGAGGGTTCATTCTATTTTTCACTAGAGCCATGAAGGCCAATTAAAGGCTATTTTAAATTCTAGGGGAGTCATAATTCAGACCCAAAAGAGGGTAGTGGCAGTAGGGATGAGCAGGAAACAGAAATATATAATAAAAAATAATTTCCCAAGTTTCTCTTGGAAACCCAAACAAGAGAGGGCTATGAAGATTAAATTTCCTTTCAGTCTGTTGCCATACTGTCATGTGATGTAGCAGTTCCTGTTAGGAATATGACATTCACTGGGTTCAGAGGTCACTGCTCATTTTTATGGTCACTGTCATTTCTGACTGCCAGTAAGTGACTTCAGACCTATGGCTCCCAGGATCCTAGAGTGGTGAGCACAGTTCCTCACCTTCAGGCACCAACACACTCTTCTTCATCTCTTCTGTGTTCCTCAGGTCCCATGATTACTGGCCTTTGCCTAAATAACAATGTTTTATCACGTGTGCTCTTTCCTAGCCTAAAAGCCTTACCCTCTGCATTCCTTTGGTAACAACATGACCTCACTCCTCTTTTAGGCTGACAAATGTTATTTAGTCTTAGGACTTCTCAAAATTTCTGTAAGATACTTGTCATTCCCAACCTGCTTTCCACCGTCCTACAAGGGGCAGGGTTGTCACACACATAATTCCAGCAAAATGTGGTAACATGTACGCAACATTTATTGTACTGGAATGACATGCTTCTGTGTATCTCCTGCTTCATGGTATGTGCTTCCAGCGAATAAATGTCATTACTATGCATGGGACTTTGCACATACCAATCAATCTCACAACATTCTGCAGTGATTTTTGATATAAAAGCAATTTTTTTTTTTTTTTTGAGTTGGAGTCTCACTTTGTTGCCCAGACTGGAGTGCAGTGGCCGCTCCCGGCCACCACAGCCTCGACCTGCTGGGCTCCAGCGATCCTTCCGCCTCAGCCTTCCAAGTAGCTGGAATTACAGGCACGTGCTACCATGCCCGGCTGATTTTTTGATTTATCGTAGAGATGAGGTCTCACCAAGTTGCCCAGGTGGGTCTCGAACCCGTGGGCTCAGGCAATCCACTCACCTCAGCCTCCCAAGGCGCGGGATTACAGGCTGAGCCACTGAGCCTGGCTAATTATTAACATTTTAATCTCTACTGTTGTCTGCCCAATATATACTGACCAATAACAAATGACCAGAAAAATCAGTAATTTAAAGACCAGATGTCACTGTTGATCAGGAATTATCAATCATGTAGTATGTCATCCTGAGTAACTTCTACCTTTCCTAGATGTGGTTACTTGGAACCCCTATTTTGACTTTCAGTTCTATGACATGGGAGCAATTTACCTATTAAACTATCTTAAAATTATATAGTTTTAGTATTTGATAACTAAGTTACTTAGGATGGGAACCTCTCACCACTCTAAGTAGACATAAAGAAGAAAAACTACAACATAGAAATGCTCTGGAAGAAATTTTTGTGTTCATTTAAAAAATAAAGTTCCAACTCTGCATTTTGTTAACATTCATTTTATAAAATACCTTAAAAGAACAGATAAAGTACTTGAGGTTACATAATAACCAGATTGAAAAAGAAAGAATAAAATATAAATTAATTGAACACATAACTATTTTGCCACATTACACGAGTTTTAAAAAGGCATTTAAAAAAATAAAACACGAATTGGGGGGAAAAACCCTTCACTCTATTGCTGTCTTTTTCTGGAAGATTTTCTCAGAATCATTACAATTCCAGGTCAATAGGCAGTACCTGTTTTAATCAAAACATACTGTAATTTGCTTCCAAATCTTTAGCTGAAGAGAGAAAATAAAATTTTAACCAGGTTAGATAATTCAGTGCAAATTAAAGCTTCAAGTTGAAAATCTGAGAGGAAAAAATAATGTCCAAACTATAAGAAATGCCTCTGGAACTGAAATAAAAAATTCACATTATGAAGAAATCTTTGCAAGTACTCTTGGTGTATGAAATGCTGAGCTAACAAATGGGGCCCGTTACAGTGACAATTAGGGCTCTATTATTAAGACTACTTGCAATGTGGGCAAAAGGGAAGTGAACAGGGAAGAGCTGAAGGTTCCATTTGTAGAAGAATGTTCCAGTTAAGCATAAACTGCTTTGATTCAATTCTAGAAAATTTGGCTAGGAAGATACATCAGATATCAAGGGCAAAAGACAGATTATGGAGATAAGTTTACTGGAATATCATTAAGGATAAGTCCTTTTAACCCCAGAACATGTTTGGGGTGGAGGAAAAAGTGTTAATATTGGCCATGATTTGTTTCAATTTTATGAGTTATATGAAATACTGGCTTGAAGAATAATTGTGTTACCAAATCTCGATAAATGGAAGGAATGTCTGACTTTTTGAATCACAGTGAAACAAAGTCTGGATAACTTCCAAACATTAACAGGTAGTCATTTTTATAATAAAAACAATTTTGTTTAATTAGTTCCTCAAAAAAAACCTTTTTGAGTTTGATTCCATATGTGACAGATAGCCATATTTTCAGGACAGTGCTTGATGGAAATTTTCCCTCTTTTTATTCTATTCTGTATGAGTTTCTGATTCATTCTTTCTTAATGGCAAAAACTAATGGTTGCTATTGAGCATGAGATGCAGAGAGATTCTGGTGGATGCCTGTGCATTTTCTTTGCAAAACAGATTTCCCCCTCAAATTTCAGGCCCATGCTTGGCATATCATCGTCAGTCTTTTCTTTTTTAATTCTCACTGGAGGTTTTCATATATTTATATACCGGATGAGAACATACTTTGTTTTCTAACAGTTCTATTTTACATCATTCCCTAATCTATTAAGAATGTCCTAACAGTGTTATCACAATGAAGTGACAACTTTGGCTTTTAAACTGTACCTATGATCAGCAATCATAAAAAGGCCAAAATAAACAGTGCTATTCCCATGTGACATCGGAGACCATTAAAACAAATGAAAAATCATGATGACATAACATGGAGTTCATAAAGCAACAGAAAATTATCCAATGCAATTTTAAAATATGTAAAAAATAACTGCACTTATACATCCATTCGTGAGAAGAGCACCTAAGGCAATTAAAAATTTCCCTCCAGGGACATAACGATTTCAGAACCATCTGAAGAAATTCATACAAAAGCACAAACTATTCAAGGCCTGTGATTTCTCATGTTATCATCTCATACCATGAGAGACAGGCTGTCAAAAAAAGGGGCATGTATAGCAAAGGAATGCATCCGTTCCCTGCCTTCCAGGGGGCTTTTAACTTGGTTGTCTACGGGAGTCTTGCACAATATTAATTTCCATCAGATCTACCAGATGCTCGGTCACGTCCTTTCGAATCCTGAACACAGGCTCACTCTCTGATGCACCTTTTTACATTACGCTGCGTATGATGTTAAAAAAGAAGCAGTAGAAACATGCACAAACCTGCAGTTAGTCCATAATTAGAAAAATCTTCTGTGGGTTCAAGCTTTTATACAGAGAAATGCTTTGTCTCATTTCTCCATTCACTTCTCATGAGAAACGAAGAAAAGCAAATTGCTGGAAAATTCTGAAGCTCTGGTGGAAAACTTTCCAGGCTTTGTCCATCAGTCAGAATTTTGCCATCAAAAATGCAGATAAAGAAAAACAAAACATTATGCTGGAATCAGCTTGCGAGTTTGTGCTTTAAAAACTGCGCCAAGCACATCCTAGATGCTTGATAAATATTTGTAGGTTTACTAAAAGTGATAACATGGTTTCTGAAGAACCAACCATCATTTTGCAAAAAAGGCAAAACTATATTAATTTCTTTCACCTGATCTGATGGAGCAATGTGGAGCAATGAATGAATCTACAAATTAAATATGAACTCTAATTTGAGTGGAGAGAAAATTACTAAGAACTTTGCAAAAAACATTACCACAGTAGCCACGGCACTTAGCAGTGCATCAAAGATTAAACGTTTCCACCACAATATGAACTGGTTGCCACAGCTGTTAGGAACTAGAGTATAATCACTTAAATGGGAAATGAACGGTAATGCTTTGGGAAAGTATGTCCATAATTTTATCGGAAAATTATTAATGTATTTTAGGAAGATGGCCCTCTTATTCAGCATACCTCAAAGTAATGCAGGCATGCATATCCGGGAGTCTTGCTATATAACTGCCGTATGGCATTGCCTTGTACAAGTATGATTCTCCCACATCTGCAGTAGTTGCTTTCTAATATTTTATATTATTACCGAGTTGTGACACCTCTGGGATGACAAAGATGAGAATACAGAAGATTATAGGTCACAGAACTTCAAAAAGGAAAGTTCCTCAATATTGTGTGAAAACCCCTTATAAAAGGCAGTTTGACTAAATGCATCATACATTCAGGTTTTCTCTATCTCTCAATAGCAATGGTTTCCAAACAAGAAACTCAGTAGTGAAGAACACATACTTTTTTTTCCCTCTGTGTTAGCCTGGGAAGCTGAAAATCAGAACCTTTAAATGTAAATGGGAGAAATGGCACTGAACCTGGGTGAGGGGTGGATGGCAGTGCTCAAACGAGCAAGTGATTCAGCTGTTGATGTGGACAGCAAGAGAGTTGGTGGGCAATGTTACAGCAGACCTGACCACACTAGGAAGGGTCCGTCAAGAACACAGTACAGGTATCAAAAAACAAAACTCAACTAATCTACAAACAAAAACAAACTGCAACTTCGCCAACTTGTAAACAAGGAAAAGCATTTCACAGATTCAAAGTTCAAGGGAAGTAAACGTCTTTAAATTATTTTTGTCAGTTCAACCCTGATTAAAAAGTATGGCTAGCAAAAACAAGGAAGCCACGGCCGTCGACATCCTGAGCAAGCGGCGGCCTCCTGAGAAGCTGCACTCCTGAGCCTCCAAATCCAATGCCTGAACAGGAGACGGCTTCTCTCTTGAATTCCATCTAGTTCTCTCATTCCCACGCTCCTGGAATATGTGTCGACTGCTTTCCACTTTGACGCTGACAGTTCTGGCTGCTATAGATTCAGGCGTGGGGAGACTGGAGGAGGAAAGGCAAATTCTCGGAGGATGCTCCGGGCCACTTCGACATTATTCTGGGCTATCTCTAAGGCTCTCTTCACCTCTTCAAAGGCATAACCCTCTCCCATGAGTTTTGCAATTTTTGCATCAACATTTTCCAATGCTGCTTCAGGCCCATGGGATTTTCTGTGGTGAATTTCTGGTGCAGTCCTGCGGGGTCGTGGTTTGGGGGGTCTGGCTGGTGCTTGTGAACCATCTACAGAGATTTTTAAAGAGAGACACCATTTAAGCAGTGAGAGAAAAATGAAGGCATTAGAATGTAAGGGTATCATCTCATAATTTTCTATTAAAATACTACTTCTTGTTATCTTTACACACAGACTTTTTTCCATACTTTTGTGGGTCTGGTAGTAGTATCCCCATTTGCCACATTAGAAAACTGAGGTAGACTTGAGTTGGCGGCTTCACTGAGAAATTTGCATATTTCATTCCTAATTACACATTTTATTCTTCGAGTCATAGGAAGGAAAAGAGATACAGGAAGAAATCAAAGCAACTGTCTAGAGAGAAGGTTTTCACTTCCTTAGCATGACAACTCATTCTCTAAAACAGCATATACTATGGCTGATGGTTCTCCAGCGGAAGGTCCTTGGGAGGTTTCCAGGACAGGAGCCTACCTTCATGAGCTCAGAGCCATTCATGACAGAACACCCCCAACAGGTCCTGTGTCTCACCCATGGCACAGCAGAACTACTCTAAAAAAGATGCTCTGTAGTATCTCTTCCTATCTGGTTTTTAAAGTTAATAATCTGTGCTAGAAAACAAAAAATTTAAAAAATGAAAATAGTAGATGCTTTGATTCTGTTTGTCAATAGATTGAACAGAAGTAAACTAGACACTCTGCTCAAAACCTTTATCAGGTTCCAAAGTACAAAGTTTTGCTCAAGAAACCTAGAAGAAAAAAACTAGGAATGAAGAAGGAGGTTCTCATTCCCCTGAGGGCAATAGTTTCTCAAAGTTAAACTGATGACAATGGTGCTCTTGAATGGAGAGTAATCTTAAGAGAAAAGAAAATTAATTACAAGCCACCATCCCATACAGGACTCTAGCACACGGGTTACTTTAACAGGGTACTTCTGTCACAGATTTCCATATGTCTACACTCAGCACTTTATTTTAAAAGCTTAGAAAATGAGTAAATCCAATTAAAAATGTCAACTTTATGGCATGAAAACACATTTGTGGATTTAGGACTATTTAGAGAACAATATTTATTCAATATATTTCTTCCAGACCATTGACAAATGCCAAATCCAAGGATATAGTTAAGTGAATGGTGACCTGAAGATAAAAGTCACAGGCCCCTTGTCTAGTGCACCACCCTGCCTCCCGCGACTGCTGCTTGCCAACTTTCCAAAAGGTTTCATGAGAGATTGTAAGTTGGTATTTTCAACAATACATTTACATAATAAAAGCTGATACACTGTTTCACATTTTTCCTTTTTAAATAAGAGAAGTATGATATTTTTCCATAAGAAGGTAAGCTGTAAAAAAAAAAAAAAAAATTCACTCATACTTAATTCTAGTAATATCAATATAACAGAAATAAAATAAAAGCCTCCAGGATAAAAAAATTTGTTTCCACATCAAATAGGATGATAGTCGTATTTTCTATTTTTATATTCTTATAGGTTAAGATGCAGTTTTAAAAAGTATTCCAGCTATAGATAATGCATATTAAAATATGCTCATATACAAGAATACACAATTTCTGGTTCTTGCTAATGTCTGTATTGTTTCTTGCCTCTATAACTAAACATCTCAAATTATTATCATTTGCTAAATTAAATTTCTTAATATGGTTTGAAGTTCCATTTATTTTTCTAGTAAGTATTTTCATTATGTCATACAGGGTGAACAATAAATTATACTTTGTTTTTAATCATTTTAATTAGCTATTAGACATTCTAGCAAATTTTTATTTAATCAGTTATTCCCAAAATATTACATATAGATTATATCCACTCTCAGAAACTTTTCAGTGAGAAAAGTACCTAGACTTTCATCCTAGTGTAAACAACTTGTATTCTGATAGTAATTTTCTAGGAGATTTCAAATATCATTATTTTGTTTCTGTTCCAAATACTGAAAAGGGCACATGAATATTATGCGTGTTAGAAAAGAATAGCATACATTCAAGTGGGATGGATACTATGGCAGCCAAGAATGCCTCTAATAAAAAGTATAATTGGGAATTAAGTCATGAAATTTAGAACCTCTAGATTAAGCTAACATATATATCTTTGATCTTGGCGGGTAACACTGAAAGATGGTATCCACCATCAATCAAAAACCATCCAAACAAACAACAACAACAACAACAAAAATAAAGAGCCTATCTTTTCTGCAAAGCTGCTATAATTAATACTGACAAATGCAATGGAATGTGCAGACAACTAATTTTATTTAGGAGGAAGTTATTCTCTGCTTGAACAACAACAACAAACAACAAGTAGTGAACATAATTTCAAGAAGCCTAAGTTAGGAAGAAAAAATTCACACGTGAGTACACACACACACACACACACACACACACACACACAGAGAGAGAGATTAAATAAAAACTATCTAATTAAGTTTGTTAGAGTATCTCTAACCCTAAAACAGTATTCCTGTACAAAGAAAAAATCTGAAATATCAACTGGAGAAAATAATTTCAAACAACCTCTAAGAGAAATCATTACAGATTTTTAAGAAGTTTTCATTTAAAAAAGGAAAAAAAACCTCTTGAAGCAAAGATCTATTTTCCAAATTGTTCAGTTTTTCCCTTTTAAATCCAAACTCACATATTCCAATTCATTGAATCCTAGTCCTCAGTGCCTTAACTTAAAAATCTATTACTCGAAAACAGTGCTGACGTATCTTCAAAATCTCACAAATGCTCACAAGTTAAATTTTACCATGTATTAGAGCCTACAATTAGAAATAGGCTGTAATTTGTTACTTCTCACAACCTGTTATAAATTTCTACTTACTGTTCAAGACTTATTCAACTTGGAATATCTTAATTTTATGTTTGACTATTCTAACTGGATGGCTTAGGAACTTAAGATTGGTCAGATGCATCTCAATTTGGCTACTAAGATTTTGAGTGATTTGAGTTACACACACTTTACGTTTACACTTCTCATTCTCCAAATCTATTTTTATCTATCTATGCTTTAGAGAGATTCTCTCTCCTCAGTCGGGCAGTGTAAGAATTACTGTAATGTGCACATATGTACTGAGAAGACCATTAAAAAGAAAGGACAATAAATTCACATCTGTCATGATAACTGCTATACTCAAATTCTACAGAACAGCCAATTATTACAAATTGATAGGAATATCAGAGAAGTGTTAACACAGAAAAAACATGAGATTTGTTTCGAATGTCTGATTCTATAGAAAGCCATTGCACAAAATATTAAAAAGCAAGACCTGTTACAGCCTGAACTAATAGTGGAAGCTGTTGAAAAGTGGAAGAACAGAATATTTCCATGCTGACCACTAGAGCAAATCGCTTAAAACCAATCCCTCTGTCTAACCATCTCTTCCCAAAACTCAAAGCCACCTTCACTCTTCCCACATGTTCTTTTTCACAGTATCTAGGAGGACATATAAGGCCCACACTCACTTCAGCACTTAAGAAAACATGTAGAGAAGGAAGCAAAGAAACAAAAATGAAACTACCTCTTGGTTCCCCTAAAGCTATTATCTCATAGTTTTGGAGAACATTAGAATGACTATATATTTTATCAACCCCCGGAAATGTCTGTACCTGAATAAATGTCATCCTTAAAAAGTTATTTTGGAAGAACATGGGTTTCTTCTAGTGCAGGCACCCATGCTCATGGTATTCTTGAACTCTTATGAGCAATGGCAATAGTATGAAGATAAGTGCAACATGTAAAGATGTTAGTAGGATATTAGTAGGACATCTTCTGGAGTTCCAGTTTTACTCAGGGATGTGAGGATGTTAGTATTTTTTAAATACTGAAATGAACACGAAGATACACCAAGGAGTGGAATGCAAAGTTTGCATGAATTTTTGAGAGAAACAGACTTTGAAGTAATTTCCTGCATGTGGGTTGTCCACTTTCAGCTAACACCCCAGTCCTCGTATTGTTCAAAGATAACTCTTTGGAAAGAAAGATTTGAGAAGCCCTGGTTTAGGAGTAAATCTTTATCCAGTTTTCATTTTATAAGCATATGAAAAAGCAGAGAGACATGCAGAAAAGTTCTGGGGGGCGTGAGAATTCGCTGACGAAAACACAGTTAGAATTAGTATCTGGGTCATGCGTTACAGACAGGGGCTATTCCACCTCTCAGGAAGCAAACATTGGTTCTTGTGAGATGAAAATAAAAACCATCTTACATGCTAAAATGGTTTGTGGCCCTCCAACGAGCCACAGTAGAGATAAAAAGCATGTTTGTGGTATAACGTTTCATTGCTGCAGGGGTCAGGGAGCTAATTAGGAAAAACAAATGTCCAAAAGGCCCCTTAGGCAGAATTTAATTTTCTTAAGTGAGACACTCTGCCATGTATCTATGTAGTCTACATATATAGCAGTTGATGGTATTCCCATTTCAGTGGTTGTCAATTATTTAGCCACAAGAAGCCCTTATCACTTCCCACATCAGTTGGAGTTATTTTTCCTTGTCCATAGTGTTTTGAAACATGTGTCTAATAAGCAAAGATCATTGTATTGATGAAGACATCTCATTTTCTATTTGTTACATGAAATCTTGTTCAAGAACAACTATTACACGAAGCTTCTATATTTCTAGATAACATCAAAAGCATTTAATGTGAAAATTTCTCGCATATACAGTTAAGGGTTTCTGTTAAGACTTTAAAAACAGTAAAACAGCATTTGAGATACTTGCACATGCATGTTTATTGCAGCATTATTCACAATAGCAAAAACACGGAACCAGCCGTGCTGTCCATCGAAAGAGGACTGGATTAAAAACATGTGGCACATATACACTATGGAATATTACACAGCCATAAAGAAAGATAGAATTATGAACTTTGCAGCAACTTAGATGGACTTAGAGTCTATAATACTGAGTGATCTATCACAGAAACAAAGACCTGGGTAGCACATGTTCTCACTCATAAGCCAACCTTGAACAATTATCATAATACTACAAGAAAAGGATTGGCAGTAGTGGGAAACTGCCAGGGGGTGGGGAGAGTGAGATTGGCAG